CTCGGATGATGGCCCGGCGTCGCGTGCACACGATGATGCCGGTCACCACGAGGCCTGTAACGATGAGACCGAGGCTGCCCCACACCAGTGCGTACACGGGCAGCGTCTCTGTTTGGAAGAGGCAAAGGTGGTGTTACGGCATTATGAACATGTTAAATATCCGGATACGTCCACATTTCAGGATCTGGGACGGATTTTGACAATCGTTTGAAAATACATATAAGAGTGGTTTTCAGATTCCCTGAGAGAGAAGGCATATTTGTTAATCTACTTTGGCAAATAATGATATATTTGTATAAGAGGCAATGGCGGCCTTAATACAATGACTGGTGTATGCAATGGTAGTGGTTTATGGATTGACTCTTCATTGATAAAGAGTACAACGTGAACTGCGGGTCAGACAGGGTCAGCTATAATTGTCACGTGAGTTCCCGCCGGGCCGATGGTTCTGGACCGGCCTAGAGTCCACGTGGCATACATTTGATTTAGACTTTGGTCTGCAGATGTGATCTTGAGCTAATGGCTTATGCAAATCATGCCATACATCATTGACCTTTACGCCTATAATTACAACACCAAACTCTATAAGTGTCTGTTGTTCTGCATGGATAATAATAACAATAGTTTATTTGAGAAAATTATCATTTACACAAGTCTCGCGGATGTGAGGATGTTTTGGGCGAATTTTCTGTTAGGAATTTTCTCCGGTCTTCAAAGGAAGGGATTAGCAGCTGGTTTATCACATCAGTTTGATCCACGTATGATGCACAGTGCTCGTTTCTGGAGTTTCTAATTTACTTTTTTCAAAGTTGGTAATGAATGTATGGCAAAGTGGTGCTGCATATTCACAAGTTGGTCGAATGAAAGTCGTCCACATGCGGAGTAGGAGATAATTTTTTTGGAATTGCCGAACCATTTTATATCATCACTGATCACTTCTAATATAATTATCTCTGAGGTTCGTGTTAAAAGCACTATCACAACTGGCTGATTTGTTGAATTTAAATCTTATTTCTGTACACCTCTTGGTATTTATTAACATGTTTGATGATGCCCATTCTGACACTTGGTTGAAGGCATCTTGTTTCCTTGTCCTGGTTTGTGTGTGAGTGCAAGTGTCATGTCATCCACATACTTGTAGATCTTCGCATGGGGAATATTATCTTAATTTATCATTATCAGGAACAATAATAGGCTGAGGACCGTTCCTTGAGGGACACCGTAGTGAAGTTCAATCTCATCAGATGTTTGGTCATTTGCACAAGTTCTCTGGGAGTGGAGGTTGATGAAAATTTCACCATTTCACCCCTGTCCTTGTGAAAACCCAGGCAAATCATTTCTTCTTGTCAAGGTGATCAAATGCTTTCTAAAGGTCGATGGTGACGGAGGTCATCTCCAGTTTGTTGTCTATTTCATGTGATGTGAGTGATGATGTCAACCAGGTAGTGGACAGTAGAGCTTCCTTAGAGGTTCCCAAATTAGTGATCTAATTTTCGGTAAATGCCTTCCACAATTCCTTATCAATTAATATCTCAAGTATTTTGCACAGGGTTAGCAATATAGGCCTAATATCATCATGAGAATTAGGTGGATTTGTTTTGGAAATTGGGACTGTGATAGCACACTTTCATAGGTTAGGTACCATGCCCTTAGTGATGGAGCTATCAAAGAAGCTCGGGAGCGAATTATGACAGCAGTCTTGATGGGATGTCATGAGGTGTGGGAGATTTGCTTTTTGCTATCCTTTTTGAATGCTGATACACTTCTTATTCACTTAAAGTTGGTTGTAATGTTGTTTGTAGAGGTAGGAGTAGTTTGTTGATGTCAGTAAAGTGACAGTTGATGATGTTAGCAGCACTGATTTGAGAAAGGTAACTGTCGCTTTTGTCACCAATTATGTTCTGAATGTGGCTATACCAAGATTTGGGCTTTGCTTCACTGATGTTATCAATAATTTGTTTGTGATATTTTTCTTAGCCGATCTTAATTCTTGCCTTACCATTTTTGCTAAGTATGTTGATGCATCAATGTTTCTTCCAGGATAAGGTGTTTGATCCTGTTGGTGACCCATGGTTTGTTCTGATGATGAGTGGATGTTCTTTTTAAGGGGAGGCAGTTATCAACTGACAGATTGAATGAATAGTTAACATCTAGCATTCGGTTCAGGGGTGTTAAGAAAGTCAGCCCAGTCATGATGTGTAATTCATGATCCGAACTCGCGAATTTTAGAACCAAAGAATCTGCACATTTTGTTCCCTCTAATTGCATGGGTATCTGGTATTTCTTTGGTACTCAGAGTAACAACAGATGATCACTGTTCCTAATGGGGGAAGGGAACATGCATTTTCATAAAAGTGTTCTTTATTTTTCACAATCAGAAGTGTTGGTAACCCTATATGGTTCTAAGGATTAGTGTATTATCTTTGTACCATGTTCCTGTGATTAGTGTAATGTCGATAGTAATTTGCTCATTATGACGCCGAATTTGTCTACTTTGTCAGTGAGGCAGCAAGCCTTTGCAAGGTAAATGCTAGGAAGTGTTCTGAAGTGTCCTGCATTAGCTGGCACTATTGTTGACAAGTCATTCTGGTCAAATATCCCGTGTAGGCTCCAAGGTTTTGTACTTTTTTTCTATTTAAAAAGGCCCTCACAGTGCTAGGGAAGGAATCTGCCTTTAAAAACATGTTAGCTACAAGTGCCTTGCCTTTAAGTGAAACAGTGAAGCTGGAATAATATGAGTCATCCTCGTTTTGAATGCATTTACATCGCCCAACTCAGGGAAGTTAACAAACAGTTGATTCTCGATATCTGCTTCCTCTGTGTCTGTATGGCAGTTTGTCATGTAAAGATACAACACCTGTGAATCCAGTGCCCCTGAAGGGTTTTAGCATTAGATCTTTGTTCTCTTTTTTTTATATATACTAGAGTAAACCCATCCTCATCCACAATATTTCAGTCAGACGTTTCCTGCCTCACAATACACTGATCATTCTTTTCATGTCTTGCATCAGACGGTTCAATTACAATGGTAGCCATGGGTGATGGTTGGTGCTGCAGAGCAAACAGAAAATCTATCTGGATACCACAGCATCTGAACACGAACTGGGATGAGTGAGTGAGTGTGAATAAGTGTGAGAGTGAGCTTACACAGAAAATAAATCACAAACACGAAGATTAATGTTCACTTTAATAATGCAATAAATTAGCAATAGCACTAACACAAAATTATTGAATTATCACAATGAATTCAACGTATGATGATATGTGACAGAAAGTACTCATAGTGAACAGTGACAAAAATCATTTGCCAGTTTTTACAAGCAAATCTTCCCAGGTCAGAAATGTACTATGCAGTCCACGGTACTATGTAATTGCCAACGAGATTAAGTGAACTGAACGAGACGGGGAAATCTGTAAATAATTCACTCCATCCTTCAAATCTGTGATGGGCACTTGTGACATGACCTTCGGGTATCTAATTATCCCGAATCACACAATTTACCCCCAACATACAAGTGACTTCTAGAGGTTGAGAAAGATGTGGCTAATAAGTGAATAACGATTCTAATATAGTCTTACATATATGAACGGACATGAGTATGGGCTCACACCAACTCGAATAATAGTTGCCAATCAAACAAATGACTTTGGTTTAACTCTTACCTACTATCTACACCGAAAAGTAGATTTATTAGACTATGTTCGCAATTCTAGGTTATATCTGGCATCCTAGTGCACTATACTCAGTAAATTTGCTACTGTTGGTGCTTTACCTGGCACCATGGACAGTACTGCGCCTAGGCTGAAGGTACCATGTGCTGGAAAACAGTGCGGTTAATCACGATTTTCTTCTTAAGGTGTGAGAATTGCCATACATCTCAAATGGAGTTCCAAGGGGGGATGACTGCTCCTCCTTTGTTTTTTTACCTCGTATTGCACTAGCGAGGACCTACCATACACTTTCAAGTCTCGATTTCGGCATCGTAGCGTGAATCGTGAACATGCAAATGCTCCATGGCCCCAACTTTGCACAATTTGATCGAAACGATGCGAAGGTCTTAATGACGGTATCTCCAAGAGGTGCCATCCTTTCAGTCATGTTAATGTTTGGAGGACTACCTCTCTCGTATACAATTATAACATTCTCTGCCATCGCTCTCCTAGCTTTAACACACTTAGCATATAATAGATCATCAGTGAAAATTTCAATGATATCGATTTCCTTTGGGACATCAGGCACATCAGGTGCTCTGACATTTTCCAAGAATTTTTCTATTTGGTGCAGCAGTTGTAAGTATGAAAAATCATTTTATGCTTAAATTCATATCGTTCTGAACAACTTTCATTCCCAATAATGATTTGGTTTTATCGTAAGAATCTGTTTTTATGGCCTGCAAAACCTTGGAGTATTTACCTCCAGGGAACGAAAGCTTTAGGATATCTTTCAAATGTGTACGAAGTTTAAACCTTTTGTAGAGTTGTCAGTTGTCTGCCTATTTGCATTTTTCTTCAATAGTTCGTGCTTCCTCTGGTACCGCCGTCGTTATCCTTTTCTAAAGGCGTTATATGTACCATCTGCTTTACTATTCGAATGTGTTTCCTTTGGGGGCCGGGCCATACCGCAAAATCAGAGAGCCCCCAAGTGTCCTTTCCATTGTAAACAGGCACGTTCAGGCGGCTCGCCTACGCAGCCTCACTTTTATTTCTCTGAATATACGTAGGAGGATTATATTAATATTATATATTATTAACATATCCAGCCCACTAGCGCAGCACACAGTCATCTTATCTGTGAAGACTTTAATCCTAGATACTATTAGGAGCGAGTGACAGGTAACAGTCTCCAATTCCAGGTTTACCACCCAGCGTTGTCAATGTGTGTGCCTCGTCTCCTGTGTCAAAACACATGCCAGAACATGTAGTGGGGGATGCGTTTCGGATACACGAGTCAAAACTCGCAGTCCACGCAATAGGAATGCAGAGTGGTAAACTTGGATGCAGAGGTCGTTTTGTGCAGTGACAGGTGAGTAATAGATAGAATGGTAAGTAAGTGTCAGGTACAATGAAAGACGAGTGGCAGGTATTCTGAAAGGTAAGTGACAGATAAA